CTCACTTCTCCGTTTCTGTTGTTTATGCCATGCTACCATCCATTAACTATAGATTTCACTGTGGTATGTGGTTGGCTCCTTTTGGCACTTCCGTGTGTTGCTCACTCACTGTGCCCAAGTCCTATTGCTCATGGCCCTCGACAGCCGCCAGAGGGAACGGCTGGTCGGCGACCAGCCTCACCTTTCTTCATCTGGTCCACAACATACAGACATGCAATAAGACAATAGTGTGTACTATGATTTATCCCGCGTCATTCATCTTTGTATGTTGTTGACTACAAAAAAATCAATTTGTGCAATTAGATTACTTTTTTTGGGTCCAAATCAGTTTTTGTAGATTATAAGATAGAAAACCAAGTCATTTGCACTATTTTGGTTGTAAGACTCGGTCACATTTTCCCAAGGTTTATGTATCCTCTATTATAGAAAAATCCAACCCAAAGCAAATTAAAGTTATGCTTTCTGGAGTATTCTTTCCCATTTGTTAAATTTGATGGTATGCTATTTTATGGTTATTTTAAATGTTAATACTCAATTTGACGTTGCATACTAGAAGGCACTAACTCATGCCTACATGAAGAAACTATATGAAATTATATAAAGCTTATATGAGTATATAAAGCTTATGTGCTCATAATAGGACATGCTATAAACTATGAAATTATATCTCTGTGCTCTTTGTTTGTGCATACTCTTAAATATTATTTAATGGGGAACTATTCATGATTATTAATAAAAAAATTATTATTTTGTTTATATTTCATACTTAAATTTCGGCAGCAAAGCGCGGGGATTTGTCTAGTTGATTCATGAAATCGTGGCAGGGGTTCACATGTCAATCATTTCATGTTCAAAGCATCCAAGGTCTCTGTTCAAAACATGCATGTTGCATGCATCACTTTATTATCCCAAATACAAAGAACATTGGCTGACAGCGCACTTACTTGATGTTGGCGAGAATCGAACAAAGGAATAACAAAAGAAAAGACAACAGTGTTTGCATAACGCGCAGTGAAAGAATCGCCATGCATGCACGTAGACGAACATTCGTGCACTTAGTAGTAGTTGATGGCCCGGCAATTCTTCCTGATCTGTCCCTCGTCGCCGGTCTTGACCTCGATGCCGGCCATCTTCACCATGGCTTTCTCAAACCTGTCCTCCCACCATCCGGGGATGTTGGCGTTGTCCACCACCATCTTCGCCGTCTCCTCCGATGTCAGGAGCGCTGCGTCGGAGGTGAAGAGCACCGTGTGGGACAACACGTTCTTGTAGTACTGCCTGTCCAGATCGTTTGGGGTCACTACGTCCTGCATCACCGTGGGGTCGTTGCCGCCCGGGGTGGCGTCGGCGGGGCACTGGCCACGCAGGAATGCGGCGAGGCCGCCGTCGATGTCGGAGGAGACGTTGAGGCGGTCAGGGACGAAGGCGGAGCAGTGGGAGCGCCCGATGGTGTGTGCACCGGAGAGGATGACCAGGTCCTCCGCGTCGAGGCCCTTGACGACGAAGCTGTCCAC